CCTTCCAACCCCGCGTGACAGCCAGCTGATGCGTGGAAATTGAAAGTGGCAGCGACCGAGANGGGGGGGGGGGGGGGTGGGTCCGGGTTCGGGGGTTTCGGAACTTAATTTCAAGGCTCGCGCGGCTGCGGCGGGGGACAATGGGACACCCCTCTCCATACTCCCAACTTCGACACTCTGTCATTTCCGGGCGGTATCCAGGTCATCGTGTCACGTCGGGATGCGGGCCCCGTCACACCCCCCGGTCCCGAAAAACGGATCGGGCGCCTCCCCCGGCATTCACGGGCCGCGGGGCTGTAATTGAAGCCTCCGCGCCCCGGCGAGCGGCCACGCATCCATGCACCGCAAACAGCGCTGACCTTACAACTTTTCATTACTTATCGGCCAAGAGACGCGTGTCGATTTTTCGATTACGTTGCCCTTGTCCCGGGAAACCCATTGTCGATCTTGAAAAAGCGCCAAGGAGTGGTTATTAGATTCCTGATTATATGTCACCGGATCTGTGAAAGAATCTTCCCATTTTCTTCAAAAATATAAACCAAATTTTTCTACAACCAGAGAATTTGGTGATTGTGTTGCCCTCATGGCGTGCATGGAGCGGATTTTGACCGTCAAAAGGCGAGGAAAACCTTATCATCCAGGTCCTTGCCTTCCCATTTTCTTCAAAAACTATAACCAACTTTTTTTCTACAACCAGAGAGTTAGTTGAGTGTGTTGTCCTTATGCCAAAGAGTGCATTGTCGGCCGTGAAAAGGCGTGAATTTCCCGATTTTCCACTTTTATCGCACTCTCTGACGCTCTCCGCCATCTAGCCGCCAAAGAACCCTATCTTCCCAAGGATTTCTAGATTTCCCAAATTTATGAGATTCCTGATTGAATATTATCCCTAGGAATTCCAACAAGGAGCACTGAATTTTCAGCTGTGCTCATCGCGCGATTGGTAAACGTGACTATATGTTTGAGTGACATTTATAGGACATTTCTCTGATGATCGTATTAAATTAAGAGTCTATGTGGAGAAAACATTCCTATTGGATCAATAGAAATTTCACTTAATACTCTTACTTCCGGTGAAAAATGAAAAGTTTCGGCTTGATCGATGTCATGCTGCAAAATTTGCGGCACCAGCCTATGGAACCGTGACCTTACACTTCCAAAAATATGAGAACGTAGCCTTTTCAACGCGATCGAATCCTGTTCTGCCAAAAAAATTGCATCAAGGAATGAAAGGAAACTTCACTTTCTGAATGACCCCCATCTATCCAATGAGGGAAAACCAACTACATATATCTAAGATTGCCTCGCGGGAGAAGCATATAGAAAGAAAATCGTCACCTACTGGCCAAAGTATCATAAGCGCTATGTGACATTTAAAAATTTCCGCCGCCATTTTATTGTTTTACGAAGAAATTGTTGGTTGAATCTGTTTGAAAATTTCACGAAATTTTATCGACAAAACAAAGAAAATTCAGTGAAATTTTCGAACAGCTTTGTTGAAAAATTTCTCTGTAAAAAATAAAATAAAATGGCGGCGGAAGTTTTCAATTGTCGCATGACGCTTGTGATACTTTGACCGGAAGGTAACGAAATAAGCATTCGTGATGAATACCCGTTACCTTACTACAAAAGCAAGACTCTTTAGGCTCTCGCGTTGATCGCCTTGTCATTTCGTGCCCCTTCCTCAGCTTCGCAAGAAGCATTCCTACTGAAGTGCTCTGCCGTGCTATGTAAAAACGCTGTATGAGCCATCAGGCGTCGCCAAATTTACTTCGACAAACCACAAATTTTCGGAGGAAATTTGGCAACTCTCGAATGTTAATACGGCGTTTTTCCTCAGCACGGCAGAATATGCTCGATCGATCAATCTGCGGATCGTGGGTCGATGGTGTGCGCCTCATAACACGGTTTACACTCCGGCAGGCGCAGTATAGGCAATTTGCACATCGGAACGTATGTGTGAAATGGTGTAGCAATGGAAGTATTTCTACGATGTTGAAGGCGCTATATCGGGTACGCGCGGTTGTGCTTCTCATTGCCCGCGATAATTCGGATTCTCGGCGTTATCGTCAGCGACTTGAAATTATTAGAAGGCTTATTCAGATCAATAGAATCTTTTCTGCTGAAAACTCAGAAAGTGCTTTGATTTTGATCGTCTAAATCTTTGTGCGAGCACAGATTTTTGGGTGATTAACTGCAGGTGCGCTAATGTTTACTTGATATCACCTAGACTGCGCTTATTTTTTTGTCGAAATTATAATCTCAACCTGTATTTTTGCCCCTTCCTCAACTTCGCAAGAAGCCCATTTCTACGGAAGTGCGCTGCCGTGCTAAGTAAGAACGCCGTATGAGCCATCAGGCGTTGCCAAATTTACTTCGACAAACCACAAATTTTCATAAATGTTTTTGACTGTTTGCACTCCGATTTTTCACAGGATTTCGTCCGTAATTTGATCTAGAAAGTCTGAATAGTTCAAATAAAAATATTTATAATCTTCCCCGAAAATGAACATTTTTCATGGAAGAAACTTGGCGACATTCGAATGCTCATAAGTCGTTTTTACTTATCACGGCAGTGCCGTTGTCGCGTCTTCATTACCTTGAGTGTTTATACGCAGTAATGAGTCTGTTTAAAGCGTCACACATCTGAGAAATCGAAGGAAATACTTTAGCTGGAAAATTCCCATGAATTTCTCGGCTGAGCTGTGTTCTCCCGCAAAACTTCGATTTTATCAAGTGCACGCTCTAAGGGAACACACTCTCAATCTCTCATTAATGAGGAGGGTGAATTCTTAGATATGATTGATGCCCCGCGGCCCGTGACAAGATATACAATAATAAAACAATTTAAAAAGCTGGTAACAAGGCTAATTTTCACGAATAAAGCCGAAACGTTTTGGTTTTATTTGTGAACATGAGCCTTGTTACCCCCGCGCGCGGCTTTTTAAATTGTTTTATTGTTGAATTAGCAGACATGCATACCGATAAAAACGTCCAAGTTTTTTCTGAAATAATCCGTCGTTAGCTGAGAGGAGGCAGTTAGAACTGATAATTTTGATGATCCTCTCCATATTTTCTACGGTTGCCACAGTCAGGGAATAACCGGAGAACCGGGAAATGTCACAGAATTTTGAAAAGTCAGGGAAAATCTCGAAATGTCAGGAAAAATGACGATAATATCAGGGAAAAATCGTTAAAGTCACCTTTATTTGCTTTTTCGAGTGGGTTTGACGTTTCGGACGACAAAGCCTGAGAACTATTTCTAAGTGCAGTGGTAGCTCGCCAAGTCGAATCGTGTAGGGACCAAAAAAAATCGACTTAATCGGTATTTCGCCTTAACCGTAGTTCGACTTAGCGAGGTTTTTTTGCATGTCTTTTTAATAATGTGATATTCGTTCAATTTTCAGGGAATTTCACCAAAATGTGTCAGGGAAATCAGGGAATTATCAGGGATTTTAATGTTCCAAATTCTCTGACAACCGTGATTTCAGTTGCGTTCATTTGATGCACAGAGAATAGGAAAGAGATCACATTTGCGCATTATACGCACCATGAGATCTGCCACCTTCCGAAGTTTTATCAGAATTGGAAATTTTGCAACCCACGACAACTGGAAGAGGCACTAATTTACCTCAGATTTCGACTATGATTTTGAATAATGTGAGTCAGGATCGTTCTCAAAACCTGTTACGGAAGGGGACGACGATCATTTGGATGTATTTAACTCTAAAGGAACTGTATCCATTCTAATATGACCTATTAGACCCATAAAAATACATGCGTGGCAGGGCTCACGTCGCGATGGATTACATTTCCTTTTGATTTAAATGCATCCAATTAACTCGCGTTGACCTAATTTTTAACCGTGAACGTATCGGAACCTTCAAGCATGCACAACACTGCCGTGCTTAGGAAAAACGTCGTATGAACTTTCAGGCGTTACCAAATTTCCTTCGATTAAACACAAGTTTTTCAGAAAACTTATGATTATTTTTCTTCCAATTTTTCATCGGAATTTTTTCCTATCAATTTGCACATCGGAACGTACGTGTAAAACGGTGTAGCGTTTGAAGTATTTCTACGATGTTGAAGGCGCTATATCGGGTAAGCGCGGGCGTGCCTCTCATTGCCCGTGATAATTCGAATTATTTTTGTTCGCAATGTTACTTAAAGTTCCTGAAGATTTCAAGGAGAAATATTCATAAATCTCCTTAAAAATACACATTTTATCGGAGGAAATTTGGCAACTCTCGAATGTTCATACGACGTTTTTCCTCAGCACGGCTGAATATGCTCGATCGATCAATCTGCGGATCGTGGGTCGATGATATGCGCCTCATAACACGGTTCACACTCCGGCAGGCGCAGTATAGGCAAAATTTGCACATCAGAACGTATGTGTAAAATGGTGTAGCGTTTGAAGTATTTCTCCGATGTTGAAGGCGCTATATCGGGTACGCGCGGTCGTGCTGCTCATTGCCCACGATAATTCGGATTCTCGGCGTTATCGTCAGCGACTTGAAATTATTAGAAGTCTTTATTTAAATGAATAGACTCTTTTCTGCTGAAAACTCAGAGAGTGCTCTGATTTTGATCGTCCAAATTACTGTGCGAGCACAGATTTTTGGGTGATTAACTGCAGGTGCGCTAATGTTTACTTGATATCACCTAGACTGCGCTTATTTTTTTGGTCGAAATTACTTCAACCGGTATTTCTGCTGAAATTACCTCGACAGGTATTTCTGCTGAAATTACCTCAACCGGTATGTTTGCTGGAATTACATTAACCGGCATTTCTATTGAAATTACTCGGACCTCCGGTGCGTTTTTATTTCCAGTGTGCAACCTGATTGGCCACGGAAATTGCTGAACACGGCCGAAGACCCTCTCACCGCTCAAGACGCGCGTCTAGCTCGCTGATGCATCTGGCACTTTAAAAACTATCTCCACCCTCATATCTAGCCCTTCTTTTTAACCGGTCGTTTCAATCTCTTCTGTTGCAGAACTTCGGAAGAATGTACTCCCTCGCCCCGTGACCGATGATGCACCTTGCTTGGACCCAATGGGATCATTGCCTGGACTGACGGGCAGCCGCATCCTCAGGCTCGGACCCTCCCCCGGTGAGCACCGCCCCGGACGATGGCCTGCGACGCGGAGTTCGACACGAGCTGCGTGAGCATGCTCAACGAGACGCTGTCCGGCGGCGGCGGCGGGGCCCACGGCGGCAACGTCACCGACGCCCGGCCCAACATCCTCCTCGAGAAATGGGTCGTCTCCATCGTCTTCACCGTCATCTACGTCCTCGGCGTCGTCGGCAACGGCACCCTCCTCCTGATCCTCGCCCGCCACAAGAACATGCGCAACGTCCCCAACATCTTCATCTTGAGCTTGGCCGTCGGCGATCTCCTCGTCATCCTCATCTGCGTCCCGTTTACCTCCGTCGTCTATATCACTGACTACTGGTAAGTCGTTCTACTCGTCTGTTATAGAGTCCCTTTATACTGAGAGTTAAGTCACCCCCCCCCCCCCNTCGTGGAGTCACAAACGGGAATAAAGATTACTCAAATTGAAAGTTTTCCGTGATCTTTGATCGGCCCATTCTCAAATGTCTTTCTCCGTTCCTTCTCTCATCCCGTTTGTTACTTGCCGAACCCGTAATTTCCCGGTCCATTCCAGATTGTAATCTTTGCGATTGGTGAAAATGTAATCTTTATTCCCGTTTGTGACACCGTGGAGGCCTAAAATACGGGAACCAATCAGAAATTGATTCAAATTGTCTTAACTCTCAGTATAAAGGGACTCTAGTCTGTTATAGAGGGCTGAATGGGGAGAGTACGGACCTGTCGAAATGGATGTACTTAAATCAAAAGGAACTTCAATACATTTTAACATAAGCCCTGAGATTCATAAGAACGAATTCATGGCAATTCTCATGTCATCATGAATATAGTTGATTTGTGATTAAAATGCGTTCAATTGTGGGACTCTTTGGGCAAAAAAGGGCTGATTTCTTTCTAGTTTAACACAAAAAACACTACAAAACGAACGTCTCCAATATTTTCATATTGAGCTTGGCCGTAGGCGGTCCCCTCATCATCCTCATCTGTGTTCCGTTTACTTTCGTCCTCTATGTAACTGACTGCTATTAAGTTCTTCAGTCTGTTATAAAGCACCTATATGGGGAGAGTTTTGCGTGTCGAAATATGGAGCTTTTAGGACCCAAAAAGGCAGCCAACCTTCTAACACGAAAAACACTAGAAAAATGCCGCCGCCAATCCTCAGATTCCAAAATCAAAGCAAAACGGTCAATAATGTCTAAAAATGAGCGCCTTTTCGCAGAAATGAGTAATATACAAAAACGAAGTCAAAAACTTGTTTTACAATCAACGGGTCGTAACAATTGGACGTGTTTCTGTCAAACAGAACTTATGTGCATTATGACGTGAGCCGTGTTATGCATATTTTCTCATGGGTCTCAGGGCTCATGTCTTAATGCACATAGTTCCGTTTGACAGGAATACGTCCAATTAATTTTAATAATGCAGCATTCTGGACCGATTGAGTGGATCTCTTGGGGCCCAAAAAGGCAGCCAACCATATAACATCGCATTTTCAATCGCACTGATTTTTGTTAAAATTACTTCAATCATGCTTGACTTTTGTCAAATTTACTTCGACCGCGCTGATTTTTTGTCAAAATTACTTCGAAGCGCTGTGTAATAGTGCGTAGGGAAAATTTGCGTTTTGCAGGAGCGTACACTAATGGACGTATTTATGCTAAAGAGGAACTACGTGCAAGTGGAAAGGTGGGGTGTGTTCGTTGTGAGCTGCCTAAGAAGCAATGTAAAAGTGGATATAGTTCCTATTCAGAAAATGGAAAAGCGGGATTATCAATTTCAAAAGGAACTAATCGCTAACTCGTGAGCCGTGGGCATATGACCAGAGCATTGTGGACAGGGCTCATGAGTTGAAGAGTCTCGCCACCGGTCTCCCCGTCCCCGTTCCCCCGTCTCGGTCGTTGCCGCTGATGTCACTGGCGCTTTTAAATTTCCATTCATTCTTATGGTCAGAGCACTAACGAGCACACCACACCTTTCCACTTCCACATACAGTAGCCGCTCGATAATTGGAAGTTGGAGGGACGAGAGATTTTCTTCGAAAAAACGAGCTTTCGAATTTGCGAGATTTTGAATTTTGGAGAGCGGTTACGAAAAAATTGGAAATAAAGAAAGTTTCAAATTAGCTCTATAATTCGAAGTGGTGGAGCCGGACGCTCTATAATTCGAATCTGATAATCAGAGGATTTAATCGTAAATTCCTCAGGTCTCCGTCCCAAAACAACCACCTCGAGACTTCGAATACAGAACGCCCGGCACAGATATTTCGAATTACAGAGCTTATCGCAGGCCGTTTTCCCACCGAAAAATTCGAATTACCGAGGGGGTAAAAATACATTGAATTTTTTGAATTGACGCGATTTCTCCAAGGGGATCAGTGTCGCCGTCGAATTATCGAGCGACTACTGTAGTTCCATTTCGCATAAATACGTCCTAATGAACTTTCTGTACCCCTGCTTTAGAAAATATTTAACTTGCTACCGAAAATGTATTTGCAGGTCCTTCGGCGAGTCCGTCTGCAAGCTCCTGGAGACCTCGAAAGACATCTCGATCGGCGTGTCCATCTTCACGCTGATCGCCCTGAGCGCGGACCGGTTCTTCGCCATCGCGAACCCCATGCGGAAGCTCAACTCCTCGATGAACGGGCGACGCGCCACCCGGTGCACCCTCCTCATCGTCGTCTTCATCTGGCTCATGGCGGCCGTGTTCGCCCTCCCCGCGGCCACCTTGTCCTTCCTCGACGAGAAGACGAACCCCAACCGGACCAAGATCGTCCTCGTGTGCTACCCCTACCCGCGGGACACGATCTTCGGCGAGTCCTACCCCAAGATGATGGTCCTCTTCAAGTTCCTCATCTACTACGCCATACCGCTCAGTATCATCGCCTGCTTCTACACCTCCATGGCCAGGCATCTGCTCATCTCCACGCGCAACATGCCCGGCGAGATCTCCGGACAGGTCCGGCAGATCCGAGCCAGAAAAAAGGTAATTCTTGTTTTTTGGTTCATGAATTAAACAATTATTTGATAAGATACTACAAAATGATCCAATCTGCTAAAATACGTGTGTTTAAACGGGAAATGCCGCCAGATGACGTTGCTAGGCGGTGCATTTTCCCACTTATGAATCTATTTTTATACTATTTCCCGTATCAGAAAAAAAATGATAAAAAATACTGTGAAATCAGTTCTGTATGCACTTTCAGATGAAGCAATAAAAAATTGGCGTGCAAATTCTCCATCGGACCGCGTTGAGCTGAAAGGAACCAAGCCACGTCAGCTACCGCCAAATTTAATTGGGAAATTTAATTTTTTTACACGGAAACGGTTGTGCAGATTTTTGTACAGATTTCAGTGAATTTTCTGCTTAGCACCTAACAAAGTCCTTAACATTTTAAAAGGATTCCGCACAAATGTTCTCTTGTAGAAATTAAATTACCCTCTTAAATGTGACAGTAGCTGATGTGGCTTGGTTCCTTTCTGCTTAACGCGGTCCAATTGATAGACAAAGCGATAAACTCAGAGAAAATGAAGCGATCCTGTCGGAAAAGCGGGTGGTTGAGATGGACAAAAGACAGAAGTGCTGTTTCTGACCAGGTGACACCGACATAGTATGTTAATTTGAAAAATAAAAACATTTTGTTCTATGATTTTTTTGATACGGTCACTAGTTTCTGAGACATCGTACACGGTAGATTCAACGCTGAGCTCATGTAGGTTGAACTCTCCAGTCATATGTGTTGGCCGAAACTGGATAGCGAAATTCTGCTCATATTATATGAGTTAAATTCTATTCTTATGAGTTGAGATGGACCAGCATTCAGACAAATTTCAGCATTCTGATTCATGTTCCTTAGCCAAAACTTCACGTAAAACACGATGCGCGCAACGGACATTACCGAAATCAACTCTTTACGAAGATATTCGATGATTCTTGGTGCGTGAATTCAAACCATCCGCTCATGAAAACTCACTGCTCTGCGTGATTCACATCGCGCGCCAAACGTTATCATGACACTCTCTGCGATATAGACAACCTCAATCTTGCCGATTTGGCTCAGCTATAGCAAATTGCGTATAGTTTAAACAACACATGGAGGGAAATGAATATTGCTCAATTGAGAGGCTTGCTGAAACCGTTGTAGTGCGCGATTTGACTCACGTAGAGCTTTGAGTTTCTTGTGAGCAGACAGTTCAAAATCCTCGTAACCAATGTGAAATAAAAACGTTAATATCTTCGTTAGGATTTGGTTTCAGCAATTTTCGTCGCGCGAATCTTGTACGTGAAATTTTGGTCAGTAAACATGTATCAGAATGCTTAAATCCGTACCCTGTCTAGTGGTCCATTCTATTCATATGACTGGGATTTTCTACTCATTCACTGGAAAAAAACACATTGGATCCAGAGTCCAGACTCTTAAAAACATCGACAAGAAAAAATACTCTTGATTCAATCGGATTTTAGCTTAAATCAAGGACCAAGCCTCTTAATTTGAGCGGATTTCTTTTTGATTTAAGCAAAAATCTGATTGAATCAAGAGTATTTTTTCTTGTCAATGTTTTCACAAGTCTGGACTCTAGATCCAATGCGTTTTCTTTTTCCAGTGTTCGTACTCACCATTTTCAGGAGCCTAAGCTAATGCATTGTGTGGATCTGTTGTACAGGTAGCGAAGACGGTGCTGGCGTTCGTGGTGCTGTTCGCGATCTGCTTCTTCCCGCAGCACGTGTTCATGCTGTGGTTCTACTTCTACCCGGACGCCCCGATGCACTACGACGACGTGGCCCACTACTCCCGGGTGGTGGCCTTCTGCCTGAGCTTCCTCAACTCGTGCATCAACCCGGTGGCGCTCTACTGCGTCAGCGGCACCTTCCGCAAGTACTACGACCGCTACCTCTTCTGCTGCTGCCGCCGGGGCCGCTACGTCTCCCACGGGAGCAAGAAGAACTCCCAGTACACGTTCAAGAAGCGCCAGTCCGAGTCGGCCCTCCTCCCGACGCAGATCTACACCTCCTGTCGCAACGACCCCATCGTCGAGACCACCCTCTCGACCATCGTCATCAACGGCATCGACTCCAAGCCCCAGCACGTATGACCGCCAGGGTTCCCCTTCATCAAGTGCAGGCTCATGTGATTCTCCACTCAGGAGAATTCGCAACAACCGCATTGTTCTCTCTTGAAGGGTGGAAATTCATTGGCGGATCCTGCAATTGGCAACATTGTCCAGGGTTGCCTCAGTCAGGGAAAACCGGGAAATAGTAGTATAGTACACATCCAACATTTCAGTTACATCTATTTGAATGAAAAAATGGCAACTTAGGAAGCACATAGGTCACTTATGATGCGTATTCGGGCATATGAGTAGAGTGAAATTATCATACTTTACGCCGAAAAAGCGAAACTAAAAGTTAAATGCGTTAACTTCCGGAAACCATATATGGACTGCGTTAAACAGAAAGGAACCAAGCCACATCAGCTATTGCCAAATTTAATCGGACAATTTAATTTTTTACATGAAAACGGTTGTGCGGATTTTTGTGCAAATTCCTATGGATTTTCTCCATAATGTATAGCATATTCCTTAAAATTTTCAAAGGAATCCGTACGAACGTTCTCTCGTAAAAAATCAAATGCCCGTGTTAAATTTGGCAATAGCTGATGTGGCTTGGTTCCTTTCTGTTTAACGCGCTCCATATAATCCAACGAAAATAAATAATTGGTAAATAACAGCTTTCTTGTATGCAAAGAAAAAAATTAAAATGTTAAAAAAGAGATGTCGACACAAAATTACATAGCCCCTTCAATTCTGAAGATACTACAAACGAACTGTACCTTAAAATTTTCATATCCCAGAAGCAAAAGTTCCCATGACGAATATTGCTATCGCTAGCGATTGCAAAAACCAACTTGTTTATTTTTGCAGAATGGACGACCAATTGTAACATTTTCGACCCTCCTCCCGAGGTGGGTCAAAAAATAGATGGATTTTGGCCAATGTTTGCTTAGGCCAAAATCCAGTAAGCAACTGCGTTTAGTTCTTGACTTCAGCAGGGCGCTTTTCTCCAATGGGTTGGCACCCCGCCGATATGGTTGAAAAAGTTTACCAAATCCACTCGCGAAGAGTCGCCTCCTGTATGCGCAATCAGGTGTTATTAACATAGCGCAACCGTTTTTCTTGATCAATGGGAATGCACTGGCATCTGAGAAAAAATGTTATCGAGAAATTAAAACCAAAATTTAGAGAAAATTCTACGATGGAAATGTCATCAGTCGAAAGTATTTGGGTTCTTTTACAGTGATTGGCTTTTTTGTTTTTGTATTTCCATAAATATATATTCTCCTTTGAGAAACGATAGCATAAAGGGACTGTAATGTGAAAACATCGCTGCTCTGTCCACCAGGACAGCACTTTATTGCCCGGAAAGTAAAACGCCGCATGAATCATTCGAAGTTGTGAGGTTTATCTGATAAAACACAAATCACTTGGAAAAATTGTGAATTTTGCTTTCGTTGGTTTTTTTGAGAGAATTTTTTGCGTGATCAGTAGTTTACCTGAACATTTCCAAACCAACGTCCATGACATTCCTTCAAATTTAAAATTTTATCCGACAAAATTTAGCAACTTTCGAATTTTTATGCACAGTTTTACCTTTGCAAGTGAAATAGTGTCCAATATGCCTTGCGAGAAAGTGCTAAGCTATCTTGTGCAACTTGGCATCTATCTAACAACTTCAGTAGAAACAAACACACAAAGGCAGCCCAAAACATAAATAACAGGATGAAAACAAAAAACAGCGGAAACAAGGCTAAAAACTCTTATCCTTTTTCCTGCTGTTTTTTTTCGACGAACTTCTTAGTATATAATAGCTGAAAAGTATACCTCAAAACTGCATCTATGCACTTACATACTCATCTCTTTGATTGCACGGTAGGCAACTAACCTAATTTTTGTCGGTCATCTGAAATCTCATGATTTTTCAAGATATGGCATGATTTTCGATCGATGAAAGACCATAAGTTTCTTTCAGAATATTAAATGAAAAACACAAGATTTAGTGACCCATTCCTCACATATTTCACGCGTGGAACCTAATCTACGGAAAGAACCGCCTCAACTGCGGGCTGATTACTGAAATGGATAAACAAAGCTATAGACAAATATGACAAAAGGGAAATGAAGGAATCTTATCGGTGGACGTGGGTGGTTGCAATGGACAAAGGAGATAGATAATAGACTAAATAATGCCCACGAGAGATCCGACGGTTCATCATTTTCCCCATAGTCTGTAAGAATCACCACTTGCAACCAGTAGGATCGCTACATACCCCCTATGTCTTCTTTGTCTATTGCCTTTGTCCATCTATTTCAATAATCAGCCCGCTGTGTGGAAAAATTCACAAACGCGGAGAATTTTCCAAGAGTGAAATGGCGGCAATCTTCGCATCGGAGACGAACAAGATTCTTCAACTTGGTTTACATTTTCCGACAAGCTTTCATTAGCCCCTCCACGCTTTTCCCGTGGAAGCGGCTTCCATCGACATAATTCACCTTTTCACTCGAAGTCTCCTCTCCAAATTCCGAGAGGAAGACATTTTCCATTTTAATTCGTCACTATCGCAGAGGAACAAAATGCCCTTTGAAAGAATGTCGGCACTAAGTTAGACCCATTTTAAATTGCACTTTTTCTGGCCAAAGGTTATAGATCTCTCAGACTGCAAAATATCGTAGCTTCGTCTATCGTGGACCTGCTCGAATCAAACACACGTAAAAAATGGAATTGCTGATTCAACAATCTTGTAGTTAAAAAAAGCGTCCGACATGTTTCAGTGTAGATTTTACGATAAAAAAATGTTAATTTAACCGCGGGGGTGGTTAAATTAGCTTTCAATTCTTGTAAAATGTACATTTGAAACATGTTTGACATATTTTTTAAAATTTAATTGTTAGATCAGCAATCCATTTTTTCCGTGCGTTCGCCATATTTTTAGATGCTATGATAAAAATGCTCTAATATGTAGCTTTATTCTTCTTCTTCTTACAGTGAAACTATGAACATAGTTTTCGTGTCAATCCGATGAGTCTGGTAATATTTTTTTCATAAACTAACTAGATACCGGTCCCAGTGGTATCTAACTAGCACTTTTTGCAATAAATTGAAATTACATAGTAGAAGTGTTGCTGCTCCATTGAACCGTTTTGTTAATTGCATATTTTCTATTTGAAAGTTCTATTCTTATTTAAAGTAATTGCGATAGAATGGGCCTGTTGCAAACTTTTGCTAGAGGAAAACTAAGAGTTGTTTCCTGCAGATAATGCCTCAAAAATCACGATGAGCGCATCGGCAAAGTCTGAAATGCACTCATAACTTCACAATCTGCGTAAGATTTTTGCGGTTTTTTGAGCTTCCTGCTTCGAAAACGATACTACGGTACAGGTGAACATTTTGTTAGAGGAGTCGTTCCATTGGCGACAATACTCATCATGGCCGACGCCAGTCCGCCAAAACACGTGTGATGGGACGAGATAACACCTGAACAGGATTAAACCAGATAACAATCGGCGTGTTTACGTTCATATTTTCCTCGCCCGCCTTAATTGACCTTGAACTCTCCTCGAATTACGCGAGGAACTGCGCAAGCGTCGGCCACGATGAATATTGCCGACGATGGAGCGACTCCTCTAACAAAATGTTCACCTGTGCAGTAGTATCGTTTTTGAAGCAGGAAGCTCAAAAAACCGCAAAAATCTTACGCAGATTGTGAAGTTATGAGTGCATTTCAGACTTTGCCGATGCGCTCATCGTGATTTTTGAGGCATTATCTGCAGGAAACAACTCTTAGTTTTCCTCTAGCAAAAGTTTGCAACAGGCCCATTGAAATAAGATTCAATTTTTCGCTGCATGCAAATTGCCTATCATCTTAACACATAGAGCTCTCTCTCCTAATTTTTAAAATCGGCATTTATTAAGTCAATAATGTAAACACATCGCACTTGCGTGAAAAAACAATTTTATTTCATTCAATTGAAACTATCATAACTTCAAAAAGCATCTCTCAGTAACCAGCATCGTGCAGTGAGATCGGAGTTTGAATCATAAAAATAATCGTCACAGTTTAACATTGACTCGTAAAATAGTTTTCATAATTTTCTCAGGTTATAGCAGAATCATGTTTGCTATAGGTCAAATTTATACTGTTCCAAAAAAAAAATTAATTACTCGGAATTTTGATGATAAAAATCAAAACAAAATGACGCTGAAGTCGGCTCCGAAAAGTCCGCAAGATTATATTGGAGCCTAATAACATAGAGCGGAGCGGCGTGCTGCCAGCGATAAGCGCGCACCAGCGCCTACAAACCTAACAGGGATACTTCACGCATGACGCAATGCGTGAAGTATCCCTGTTAGGTTTGTAGGCGCTAAGGCGCTTTTCGCGCTGGCTGTCCGCCCGCCGCGCCGCAGCGCAAGACAAGGAGACCAACTGGTCTCTTTGATCGATGGCGTGTTTGATTGTCTCATTCCACGTCGTAAGTTTAATTTGTATTTTCGATCGTTATTATTTTCCAGATCACTGGCTATCACCAATGATGTTTTTTTTCCCATTTTTATTTCCTGCGGTCGATATCACGTGATCATCCTTGATAGTTCACTTACTCTCGGATCAATTTTGCCAATCCAATAATTCTGATGTAAAAATTCAAGTTAATACAGCATTTAATTTGAAAGAATAATCAGTGTCGAGAAATGCAAGATGACAAGGATTAGTTGAATTGCCGAAACTTTCATTTTTAATTCAATCGGATCAGTCTAAAAAATGAAGGACCTAAGCGTAGAAAAAGAGCAAATTATGGTTGGTATTTTGAGTGAAAGTTTAGTTTGATAAAATGCAATTAAGCTAATTTGGAATCCCAAACGTACGGAATATTTTCAATTGATTCTGTTGATGCCATGAGAATGAAGTTCGATTTCACCGCAAAATTCCTCATTCCTCAGAACTAATGTATATTGATCTAGATTGTTACATTTAAGTTTTTTTATTGAGTGAACATTTCGTTTAAAAAGAAAAGAGTTTTTTCAACCGTTTTAAAGCTCTTAGAGATGTCTCAAAATACCACACAAATATTTAAGGCATTCTTCCTTGTCTACCTGTATCGCTAAAATGTTATCCTCGCCCCTATTTGAAGGGAACAAGTTATGGGATTGTTAACCATATCCCGATATCATTGAAGTTTCATGATTTATTGTCTGAATCTTTTAGTACAAGTAGTTTGTATGAAGTCCTTAAGCT